TTGTGCACCGTGACAGGGACCCCCCCAGGGTTGCCACAGAAAGCCTGACCTGGAGGGATCTGAATGCTTCCTGTTGTAACCTCAGTGTAAATCCGTTCTTCCACATTTTGGAAGACATTCAGATTGGCAGTGTAAACGATTTATGAACAAATTTTGCAACCCAGACCTGTGTTTATTGGTTTAATTTTGCTTAGGAATGAGAGGTGGATTAGGAAGGAGTGTGTCCTTCGGAACTGCCTGTCCCTCTGGGAAGTAAAGAGGACCCCGAGCTAAGACATCCCAGGCCATCTCCTAGCAGTGGGGCTGTTCCGGGGAATTCCTAGACCCGGCCCCAGCGTCCACGGCAGGACGCTGCCCCGGCTCAGCGCAGGCCTCCTCGGAGGCGGCTGAGCCCCTCAGGGACCCTCCCCCTGGCTTCGCCCGCCCCGGGGGTCACTTCGGTGTTTTCTTGGACAGCTACGAGCAATTACGACCGCTAGGTGTCATGGGCAACTATGACCACCAGGTGGCGGTGCTGCCTTCTACAAGGGCGCTCTGTCGCCGTCTCGTGGCCCAGAGCAAACTCTTCGCTTTTCCGGCAGTCTAGGACGCCGCAGAGCCCAGCGGGTGCAGAGGAGTATTACACACCCACCGCCTGCCTCACAGAGAGAGGGAGCACCCCATGGAGGAATGTTCGGATTCTGGAGTCCAAAGGAACTTTTCCTTGCAATGCTGGGAACTGAACCTAGAACCTTCTGTATGTAGGCAAGGGCTTTGCCACTGGGCTGGGAAGGGAGCTCCGCCGTCTAAGCACCTGCCTGGCAAGCGCAAGAACCAGGACTCGATCCCCCGCACTGCACGCGGTGCCGACCCCGGAAGCCACGCCGGGCGCCGAGAGCGGGGGTGGTGGCCCACACCTGTAATTCCAGCATTGTGCAGGCTGAGACAGGAGGATCACAGAAGTCCAAGCTACCTAGTGAGACCCTGTACCAGATAGATAAATACATGATTTTTAAAAAATTTTTTGAAGTGCTCTACCTAAGCACTGCACAGGGGCCAGGGTTCGATTCCTGGCACTGCATGGTGCGCCAGCCCTGCCCACAGGCATGCTGAGCTGACGGTGGAGTCCCAGCACTAGGGAGGCAGAAATCACGAGGATCGCTACTAGTCAGAGCTGCATAGTGAGACCCTGCACACACACACATGCACACACACACACACACACACACACACTTAAAAAAAATTGCTCTACCACTGAGCTACACTGAGTTCTAAGAGCCCAAGAGCCCAAATTGTAGCACCAAACGGAAACAGAACACTGAGTTCTCCTGTGACCAGTCCCGCCGCTGGGCAGGTGACTCCTGTCCGCTGGGCAGGTGACAGCGTCAGTACTCAAGGCGCTGGTCCAGAGACAGACAGGAGGGGCTTAGGGTGCTGAGCAGTGTCAGCCTGCTTCCCACCGCTCCTGCTGCAGGATCTGCTCTTGCCACCAGCCAGCAGTGCCTTCCACTGCCCCTGGTCGCCCTGGAGGACAGAACATCTGCATGCCTGACCCGAGCCGGTACATTAGGAGCAGGGCCTGGGGTCCAGCTGGATACCAGGACAGCCCAGGGCCAAGCCTGAGCCAAGAGACCAAGGCAAGCTGCTCGCCCCTTCAAGCTCGTTTTCGCTCAGAACAAAACAGGAATCATGACCGAAGCTGCCTCCTGGGATTGCTGTGGGCTTCAGTGTCTCAGTGCAAAGACAGCTGGCAGGTAGCGTAGTGCCCGGCACACAGTAGGCACCGGGCAGACACAGCCTCAAAAGCCTGCTGCCCAGCGGAGCTCTGAGCAGTGCCCCTGGCCCTCCTGCACTGCCCTGTTGGGCAGCCACCAGTGGCAGGCTGTGGCTGGGGACCCGAAATGCGGCCAGTGCCACTGAGCAAATGGTTTGTAAGTTTTGCTTCATTTCCAGGAAGTTAAATTTAAAATCTCTCCTGCAGCTAGCGGCTGCCGGATTGGCTGCTCAGGACAGGTTTATAGTTTCTCCAGACTTGCTTTCTGCAGGTCCCTGTGGAGTGCAAGGCTTGCAGGGCCCAGGAGGGACTAGGGGACAGCGACACCACCTCAGGCTGATGGAGCAGTCGCCCCCGTGCACGCCCCGCCCCCAATCATTGCCTGTGCCCCTAGTGACATCTCCACTAGTCAGCACAGGGTGCTCGCCCCACAGAGGAGAGAGAACCCTGCGGCTGCAGGGGAAACGTCTTCGAAGGTCACCTGGATCTGGCTGGACCTGAACCCCGTGCTCCAGGTGCCCCCCTGGGCTGCCTGCCTGCCCGTACAGCCCCTGGGCTCCGGGAAGTTCCAGGCCACTGGGCCTGATGGCCAAAGGCCCTGCCCTCCAGGGTCAACCTGGAGCACCCAGAGAAACTCCCTGGCACCCACCACGGTGGGCAGGTTCCACGCCTGCCAGCAGCTGCCTGTGTCCTGCCAAGCTGGGGCTGCCCTGCTTCAGCCCTGGGCACAGCTGGGTTGAGCCCACATCTGCTGCAGCCAGGCCCATGGCACCGGCCACTTCTGCAGACACTCGGCCTTCTGCTCCGTCCCCACTACCCTGCAGTTCAGCCCTGCACCCCACCTCCTCACCCTGCTCCTGAAACTCCACAGGGAGCCCCTGCCAAGCCCCAGCTCTCCCCCACCACAAGGATGGGCACCTTCTCGGGGCCACCTTCTGCCCAGACCACATGTCCATGGCGCACAGGCTCCTTGCACGGGGTTGCCGGGACACGCAGTGTGGGTGTCAGTCCTCAGCCAGGGGCACCCCGGGTCACTTGTTCATGCAACGAATGTGTGGATGGATGCTGAGAGGGTGACTCAGGCCCTCCCTCTCCTCCCCGTCACCCCTCAAATTACATTATTCCTGGTCAAGAACTCACAGAGTGCCTTCCTGGGTCTGGAGAAGGGGCCAGGTCTGGGGGGCAACGTCTGTGGCAGGGCTGAAGGCAGGAAACAGGAAGACAGAGTGATGTTCTTCCTCGAGGCTCGATGCCCACACTTGGTGTTACAAAGGGTATTGTTTGGGAAAGGGGCACTGGGGGCCCGGCCCGGGCCTTCCATGTGCCATCTGCACACCGTACCACTGAGCCGCACCCCCTCCCCAATTTCTCGTAGCTATCAGCCACTGCAGGCAGCTCCTGGCTGCGGCATGGAAGCCCAGCACAAGGCCTCGCCCATGCTAGGGAGCCCTGGTTAAGTGGGCCCGTGTGGGTGCTGTCCTGCTCTGGGTCCTGGTCCTCTGTGGCCTCTCTGCGCCTGGCCTGTCCTCCCTGCCTTGGGTCCCAGGCAAGACCAAATCTCTTGAGGTTGCTCTAGGGCTGTCTGGGGGCCACAGGCAGAGACTGGCACCACACCAACATGAGGAACTTAACCTTCCCCCTTAAAATAAATATGTGTGTCCAATGATCCCTGCTGCATTACTGCAGACAACTAAGTTCGGTAAGAATATCACATGCAGTCAGACAGGGCTAGACTGCCAAAGGAATCAGGGCACAAGACCAGCACTCATCACCGCTGCGGCTGGAGGCCAGGGCTCCAGACAAAGGCAGAAGGGCCAGGCCTGTGCGCCTCCCCTGGAGAGAAGCAGCAGAGACCATCCCTGGCCCAGTGACGTCCACACAGACGTGGTTCCCCAGTGGGTGTCCCGGGCTTGGCTCCTCCAGAGGAGGTCCCATTCCCGCGCACCTGCTGGGACCCGCTTCCCCACGGGACCAGCGTTGCCCAGGCAGCTACGCTTACATCCTCGTTGGGTGACCATAATGCTGCAGGCAGCTGAATGACACAGAAATATTACAGGCGGTCAGACAGGGCCAGGTCCTCAAGGAGACAAGATGGAAGACAGGGTGACCTTGCAACCTTGGAAGAGAAAGAAACTCCCAGTTGTGGGCCAGACCTCAAGACAAGAGGGAACAAATGTAGCCACATACTTCCCTAGGGATGGACATCGGGGATTGATGTTTTAAACAGGTATCAATCACCTTGAGAGCCCAAATGAGTCACTAGCCCAGTCCCCATCAGGGAGAGACCCTGTCCTGTGTTCCTGCCTGCTTGCTACAGGACTCGCTGACTCATTTGGTCCTAGATTTAATCAATCTTACCTGAGCAATGGTGCTTGTAATCTCATAGGCTGACCACAGCTTTGCCTCACCTCATGCCCACATAAGCGAGTTCCCATGTCTTCTCCACCACCTTAGACCCGCCTCACTGCATGGTTTTCCTCCATAAAAGTCCCTGGAAGAGCCCCCCTCCTGCTCCCTTCTCCGACAGGAGCTTCCTTTGCCCCAATAAATCTATTCTGCTCACAGCCTCCATCTGTTCCTAAAATGCATTCTTCGGTTCTAGAGAACACAACTCGTGCCTGCTCGGGAGTGTCTCATTTTCCCTGTGTCAGCAGTTTCACCGCACTTTGCACCCAGCCCGTGATTTACCCTACAAAGCTTCCCCGAGAAGCGGGCCCAAGGGCAGCCCATTTGGGTCCTCTCCTGCTCTGAACCCCCGTTGTTCCCCAGCGTTCCTTCCTCACATTTGGGGAGCACAAACTCAGCGTACCTGACATGCAGCATTTGGCAGTCAAAATGTTTTCCCTCTCTTTGGAGGTCTGATGTCATTCCCATGCCAGTGGAAAAGGAGGCTGCAGCACAGGTCGGTGGAGGAGACTGAGGACTTACTAGAGGAAGCCACGCGAGGCAGGAGGAACGCAGCGCAGCGGCTGGGGGCTGGGGTCGCTCACGCGCTCGGAGAGGCCGAAATCTGTGGAATTCGATTATCGATAGCCTCGGTCTTGGAGGGCGGGAGACAGTGGGTGGGCGTCTCCCACCCACAGCGAGCCACTGCTCTAGAAAAGGCCAAACGGGTGGCCGCTCATGGGTGGAAGAAGGCCATCTGCAAGCAAAAGGGAACGGGCCACCGAGCCCCTGACAGCTGAAGGGGCGTTGCCCAGGCTCGCCCTTTTAGGAAAAGGAACAACTGCGGGGCTGTGTTCTCAAGCTGCAGTTTGTCTTTACTATACAATCTTTAAAATTTTGATTTTCCTTTTCTTCTACCCTTATTTCTCCTATCCTACCTCCAGGGAGCCCCTGGCGAATTTATTTTAAAAAAAAAAAAATCCCTCTGGCTTCTCCAAAGAGAACCAAGAGGGCCGTCACCCTGGAGGGTCGGCCCCTGGAGTCCCAGATGGTTTGCAATCAGCCTCGCAGCATTAATTCCGCCAGTGGGCAGGAGCGGGGTGCGGTATTTAGCCAACAAAACCAAATAACTAGAGTCTCCAACAAACAAAGAATGCATGTCCCGAACAGTCCCTGCTGCCGAGGGTCCGCCACGCGCAGCTCGGTTGCAATATGTGCTTTTCTTCTATCCGAAGGATCCCTTTCATACTGGGGATCCTAGCGGAGTCTTCCAACTACAGTATGACAGATATAAATTCGGAACACACATCGGGTGCTTAGCACTGCCCTGATTAGCCACTGCGGCGGCTGCATCCTGCCCAGCGGGTGACAGGAGCATTTAGCGCCCCCATCCCCTCGCTCCCGGTCGGTCCACGCAGAACTCCCTGCGGTCTCAAGCGCCGCTAGAAACTCAGTCACCGGCTGCCTAGGGTAACTCGAGGTCCAGCATCCGGGACATCGGAAATCAGCTCGAGTCGCCAGACCGGAAGTTTGCCTTGGGCCCGCCCCAACTCCTCATTGGGTGAAATCACCGGAACCCGGCCAAACTTTGATTTCCTATTGGCCAATACCATGGGGCGGAACCTGACTTTCTCAGGACTCTTCATTGGCTAAAATCGGTGGCGTCTTTATAATCTTCCCCTTGGCTGGCTGGTAAGTGAGAACGCCCTTGCCCCGCCCCTCGGCCCAACCTACTTATTTTAAATAAAAAGTCAAGAACTGTGTGGTCTTTTATCCCGAACTCCTTGGGGTTCCTCTTCCGGTGTCTGCTCCCCGGAGGCCTTCGAGTCTCGCAAAGCCTGAGGATTTAGCGCGACGCGAGCATTGAGGGAAGCCGGAACGATTCTTTCGTGGAACCATTGAGGCTAGGCTTCTGGGGGGCCTCGGGTGACGCACCCTCAGGGATGGCGACGGAGACGGCCGTTGGGGGCTCGGAGGCCGCCATGCCCGTGGACCTGTGTCGGGAGCGGACCTTGGTGTGCGTGGAGTACCCGGGCGGGGTGCGCGATGTGGACAAGATGCTGCAGACGCTGGGCGGCGAGGAAGGCGTCTCGCGAGTAAGGGACCGGGCGTCTCAAAGCGCGGGAGGGACCGCGCTGTGGACTGCAGCCGAGGGGGCGGGGCCAGGCGGCAGGGTGGTTCCCTTGGCAACCGAGAAAGGCGTGCCCTCCCCCAAGAATTGTACGGAGACCGCGGTGGCCCTCGCGCCTCCTTGGCCTAAGGTGGAGCGTGTGCACCGCAGTCGCCCTTGCCACGGGCGTGCTGAGCTGCCTCGTCCCTACTGCTGGAGCACAGGGAGGTTAAAAACTGGATTCAGCCCGGCGTGTCCATGCAGGCCTGTAATTCCACTACTCCAGCGGCTTGCAGTTTGGAACCCAGCCTGCAGTTTAGTAATGTAGCAAGATCTCGTCTCAAAGTTACAAATAAATAAATCAATGAATAAATAAGTAAGGACTGAGATGTTCTTAAGTGCAAAGTCCCTGGTTTCAGTCCTCAGTACACAAAAGAAAGAGAGAAAAAAAAAACCCAAAGAACAGCCCCATAGACTCGGTTATTGTCGGTCTAGGTGCTTAGCTTGCATTCCATCCGCTTTAGAATCTCCCCGCGTAGCACTGACGGTGTCTGCATTTTAGAAACCAATCCGTAAGCGGCAGCAGGTGCCAGCTGAGCCCTGGCCATTCCCACTTGGTTCTCCTGTGTCGACTCATGCATTTGTCTGACTGGCCTTAGAGCTTCCGGGTCACCCGGCTCTGCCTTCAGGCGCATCCTCATCTCCACCCCATCAGGGATTAGAGGCCTTTGTTTCAGAAAAAGGGGATTCTTCAGGCTCAGGGTTCCCTTGTGGCCCTCATCCCCCACCCTCCCAGCTGCTGTAAGTGCCTCCCAGGAGTCAGGGCCCAGCCGGGCATGGAGCAAGCGACCTGTGTGCCGGTGACCTCCCAGCGTGCATTTATTTTTATTTTTATTTTTTTGCGGAACCAGGAATTGAACTCAGGCCCTTGCACTAGCCAGGCAAGCGCTTATTCTGCGGAGCCATCTCTCTGGCCCCCTCAGCGTGCATTTCTGCTGCTTCACAGCTGCGCGCCTCCTCCCCTGTGGGGAGCGACATGTGTCGAGTGTTTCCTGAGCGTTAGGCACCGGGCTAAGTGCTTACTCTTGTTTTTACTGAATTGTGACAGTGCTAGGAGGTGGGTGTCAAAGTGCTTTTGAGGAGAAAGAAGTGGGTCTTCCGAGGTTACAGGTAACAGGCCAGAGTGGTTACTACGAGGCAGCGGTTACTCCATCCCATTTGGACCTAGAAACATCTGCCTGGGGGCTGAGCACCTCTCTCAGCCTGCAGTAGCATGGCGGTTTGTGGAGCAGGCTGCCCTAGCCTGGCAGGTTGCTAGCGCAGCAAACCTTAGCTGCCGGGATGGCGCTCACACCTGTGACGGAGAGTCTGACTGTGACAGCGTTTATGAGGGCTGGCTTTTTCTTCACTGACCATTGTTATTTCCAAAAATTGCTTTTCTTCATTTTCTCCGTGAAGTAAACACTGAGACACTTGGTTTTTTGTTTTGGTTTGGTTTTGCTTTTTGAGACAGGGTCTTGCTGTGTGGTTTGGGCTGGCCTTGAACTCACTGTGTAGCCTGGGCCTCAAACTCTTGGCAGTCCTCCTGCCTCAGCCTCCCAGGTGCTGGGATAACAGGCATGCCGCACCACATTTGGCCTACACTTGAGTTGTTAAAATGTGCCTCTGGAGCCAGGAATAGTGGCACACAGCACTCTGGGACTGAGCCTGAGGCAGGAGGATTGAAGCTTCAAGCCCAGGATGAAAAGGTTAGTAATTTATGATACCCAGTCCCAAAAGACCAGAAGGGCCGAGCGCAGCACAGTGCGAAAGCCCTGGTCCCCCCAGTACCTGCTCCACACAGTCTTCCGCGAATTAGGAGCTCAGCAGGAGCCCAAGCCGCCCACCCTTCCTGGATCACTATCTGGCTTCATGGAGAGAAGAGCAGTCACTTGCTGGCTCACTGCCTCCCTCTGTCTCCCTCCATCCTGCTGCAGATCTACGCAGACCCCACCAAGAGGCTGGAGCTGTACTTCCGGCCCAAGGATCTATACTGTCACCCCGTGTGTGCCAACCGCTTCAGTACCAGCAGCCTCCTGCTGCGGATCCGGAAGAAGACAAGGAAGTGGAGAGGGGCTCCGGAGGCCAAGGCCCACCCCAAGGCCACGTATGACATGGAGATCCTGGGTGTTGTCTCCACCATTTTTAAATTCCAGGGTAAGGGAGATCTCTGTGCTGTCGGTATTTGTGGGCCTGCCATGGATTCGGGAGGAAGCTGCTGTTTCTGTTTGAACCACCGTCACCTCCTGAATCGCAGAGGATGTGGGTGACAGTGGCCAGTCCTTGGGCCAGTGTCCCTCACACAGCGTCCGCCACGCGTCCCCTTCTCTCTCCAGGAATGTCTGACTTCCAGTACCTGGCCATCCACACAGGGCCAGGGGGCAAGCACATGTCCTTGTATGACAAAATAGTCATGTTCAAGCCTGAGAAGGAGGGCTTCTTCCAGCAGGAGCTGCCGCTCTACATCCCCCCGCCCATCTTCTCCCGCCTGGACACCCCAGTGGACTACTACTACCGGCCAGAGACACAGCACCGGTAAGCTCTGTGCCCCGCTGTGGCGGCGCTGCAGCCGGAGGTCCGGGCTCCAAGGCTCAGGAGGCCCAGGAGCACCTCTCAGCCCGCAGCCCTTCTGCTCAGCACTTAGGGTGATGGAAGGGTGAGTCCTGGCCACGGGCAGAGTCCACCACAGGCCAAGCCCTGGATCGGCACTGGAGAGTGCCCAGCCCCTGAGGTGCAGAGAACTTGGCTGTGGGCCGGAGGGTCCTGCTGAGCTGTGGTCTTGGGTTTAATCCCCTGTCCTTGCCACCCAGCCACCCCCACTACTCAAGGCTGCCCGTGCACATCCGCTTGGCCCCGCACATTGCCGCCCTCACATGGCCTCCCTGTTCCATCCCACGCCGAGCTCCCTTCTTTGGCCTGCATCTTTCCTCTGCTGTGTCCCTTCGGCAGGTCACCTACAGGACCCCAGCCTCTCTGTGCCTCTGGTCTGGGTCTGCCCAGTCCCCAGCCACCTCCCAGTGTGGTCCCCTCAAGCTGGCGGTGGCTCCCCAGATTTGCCCACTGTGTGGTCAGCTGTGGTCTGTCCTGTGCCCTCCTGGGGACAGGCGCCAGATGTCTGGAGTCCGTGGTGCGCTCTGCTGCGTGAGGGTGTGCAGAGCCCGGTGGTGACTCAGCCCCTCAGAGACCGCACATGACCCCTTGACAGACTGTACCGAAGGCCTGGGTAGGGCGTGCTGGGAGGCAGCGGGGCATTTCAGATGGGGGCTTTTCCGTGGAGGCCAGGCGCACGTTGTTGACCTGGACAAAGAGGATTCCTCTGCAGAAAAGCCAGGACTGAGCAGTGTGGACAAACATGAGGAAAAGGGGTTCGATAATGCCCAACGTGATGTCCGTAGCAGTCCCTGCCTTCCTCACTCGAGTCTGTGGGGAGCTGCTAAGCCTGGGTGTCACCCCAGCCCTTTACGGATTTGGCAGGACTGTGTCACACTCATTTTACGCATGCAGAAGCAGACGCCGGCTTCCCACGCCATGTGGCAGCATCGAGTTCTGTCCCATGAACTCCTTGGTCCTTCCTAAGGACTCAGCACCACCCACCCTGTCCTTAGTTTCACGTGCTTGATTTTTTAAAAACCAGACATGAAAAGTCTCCTTCTATCGTGAGCTCTCGAAGGTTGCAGCTGGCCTGCTCTCTTCTCTGCCATAACCTTGGTGCCCAGAGCAGAGCCTGGCCTGGGCCAGTAGTTTTAGGCCTTGTGGAGAAAGCTTTTGGGTAGCCAGGTGCGTGCCAGCAGGCAAGCACAGAAAGAGGGCAGAGAAGCATGGCCCGTGGGTGGGGTGCTCGCTGAGGCGGTTTCCTTGGCGAATGCGGGCTCTTGGCACACATCTGGGGCCTGATGCTGTGGCAAGGGCAGGTGCTGGGCAGGTCCTGGAGCCTGGTGTTGGGCCGCACGGCAGTAGAGCAAATGGACAGCTGCCTGGTGTGGTGGGGTGGCAGAGGGGCTCAGGGAACCTTGCAGGAGCTGACCTGTGACAGGGGGGAGGGGTTGATACCAAAGGTGGGCAGGCAGTAGCCTGGGGAGAATCCCAGACCAGGGGTGGTGCCTGCAGGGGAGGGCTGGGAGATGATGCCCCAGAGCCAGGGGCACTGGCGGCGTGAAGTCTTCTGGGTGAAGCAGTGGGCTTAGAGCCCGTCCTCTGAGATGTGCTGCTCTCTGCCTTCACACAAATGCCCTGAGCTGGGCACAGGGGTGCCTACCTGTAATGCCAGCAGCTTGGGCAGCTGAGGTAGGAGACAGTGGGGGTCCAGGAACTGTAAAGGTGATTGCAGCTACGGCAGGCACAGAGCGCTGGTCAGACCACACTGCCCTTCTGGAGTGAACCCAGCTGCGCCAGGGCCGTCATTTCCCCAGTTGTCCCCAGGGTGGCTTTTGGGTGCAGCCTCCTGTGCCTGTTGAGGCCTCCCCACTGTTCCGCTTGTGAGGATGGGTCGTGCTCCTTAGAGGAAGAGAGCTGCTGAAGCCTGCAGCTGCGAAGAGTCCCATGCACCCCGCCCTGCTCAGTGCCCGCCACCAGTGCCTGCTGGGGAGCCCCGCTTGGGGGCGTCAGGGGAGCGTGGTGTGGCGCTCTGGTCCTTTCTTCTAGGTCACATATCTGAATGTTTTGAGTTGGAAACAAAAGTCCACAGGAGAAAGGAGCCCCTCTGCCCAGCTGGCCTGGCGCTGGGAAGTCATGCCAGAGTCCCTGCCCTGCCGCATGTGGCCAGCGCGTGGTTGCTCCCAAGGAGGGGCCAGCCACCCTCGGGCCAGGCCACCTCCTCCTCCTGTGACTGGTTTCTAACACCTGGAAGGGAAGCTGCTCTTCTTCCCAGGCCCTGTCGGGCTGTGTGTGGGCTTCTCCCCACACTTCCACAGACGGTCCCTGCTCCCCCAGGGAGCCCTCCAGGCTGGTCCCGGTGGCGCCTCCCATAGCTCTCCATGACCTTGGAATCTTGTGGCCCAGCCCCAGACCTCTGGGCACGGAGCAGCCCCCCCCAGCACTTTCCCTGCAGTGACACTCAGGAGGCGGGCCTGGCTCCCTTCCTGGGAGTGACGGCTGGGGGCAGGGCAGTGTTGCTCCTGTGACCGATGGTTTCCTCCCAGGGGCACAGCCTTGAAGGGTGCAGGCTGGCTGTGCCTGTGAATTTCGCTTCCTAGTGTGCCAGTGGCCTGCTGTCTACGTGCGCAGCAGGGATGTGCTCATGTAGAAAAAGCAGTAAAATATGAACTGGGAAGGTGGCCCCTCCTGACGTCCCCGCTACTCAGGACGTCAGGGGGAGCACCAGAGCCCAGGATTTGCAGACCACCTGGGCAAAGCAGTAATGAGACCCTGTTTAAAAATAAAGGTGGAAAAATAATAATAATAATAATAATAATGAATAATAAAGGCAGACTGGTGAGATAGCTCAGCAGTCTAAAGCACCTGCTTAGGCAGGCACAGGGACCATGGTTTGATCCCTAGTGCCACATGCTGTGCCAGCCCAGGGTTGGCTGAGCTGGCCACAAGAATAAATTAAGTAAATAAATAAATAAGGGTGAGCCAGGTGTGGCATTGCATTTGTAACCCTAGATCTCAGGTTTGCCACAAGTTCAAGGCCAACCTGGACTGTACAGTAAGACCCTGTCTCAGAAAAACAAAAAAAAGTAAATACATTTTTAAAAAGCTAAAAGGGAAACGTATTTTTTTCCTGTATTTTAGGGAAGGGTCTGCAGGGTGTTCAGAGTCGACTAGATCAGACTCAGTAGTGATTCTCCTGTTTACAGCCTCCCAAGTGTTGGGATTACAGGCGTGTAATCCATGCCCAGTCTCAGCATGCCCTGGGGACGGGGCCAGCATGACAGGCCTGGGGATCAAACCACAGGCCCCTGCGCCTGCTTTCAGGCGCTTTAATCTGCCGAGGTATTTGGCTGGCCCAGAAAGCTAAGACTGAAAAGCAGCAGTTTCCTGAATGAAACTGTATGAGTTAGCAGGGCCCATGATGTATTCCTGTAATCCCAGTGGTTTGGGAGGCTGAGGCAGAAGGATCGCAAGGCCGATCTTGCCTGGGAACTTAATCTATGTCTCAAAAAATGCAAGCGGGCTGGGGTTACAGTCAGGCCCTGGCTTCAGTCTCCAAGGCTAAAGAAAGGCAAACAGCAGCTGTGTGGTTTCCGGGCTTGACAGTGTCCTTCCCAGTGCCTGAGTGGGCAGGGGTCCGGGCCTGTGATTAATGGTGATGTCCAGGCGGGGGGTTTCTGGCCCAGTCCCCCATATCCAGAGGTGACATTACAGGTATGTGAGAAACGCCTAAAGAGTGTTGTGTGCCAGCACGCACCAAGAGTTATACAGCACTTGCTCTGTTGTATGTGTGTTAGGACTCTTTTTTTGTTGTCTTTTCGAGACAGGGTCTGGCTTTGCAGCCCAGGCTGGTCTCGAACTCTCAATGAACCTCCTGCCTCAGCCTCCTGAGTGTTGGGATTACAGGCCTGTGCCACCATGCCCAGCTGTTTTAAGACTTTTAGAGCAGTTCATGTCCACGGCAGACTAAGGAAAGTGCTGCGGTCTTCCGTGGGATGCACGCGCACCTGCCTGCTACTCACAGCCCCGTAGAGGCTGCCCCGACGCTCACGGGACACAGCGTGGCTGTGCAGAGGGAGCCCCTGCTCCAGCCTGTGCTGCTTGGCAGCATCCTTTGCTCGTCCGCCAGCGGTTGTGAGATGCCTTGAGCAGGTGGCACTGTGCTAGGTGCTCGCTGGACGGCTGCATCGGGGCACTGGGCCATGGTCCCTGGCTTCCGTATCACGGCTTTTGGTGCAAGACTCCTAATCCTGTGGCCTCTTACTTCCTGGGAAGGTGCTTCCTTGTAGGATCATTTGAGGGCTGGATAAATGAACCTCATAAAAGCCAGCGTCGGGAGGTGTAGCCCTCATCACCGTCACCGTCACAGGGATGGAGCTCTCGTGCGGCTCTGCCTGTCCTGGCTTCGCCATCCCTGACAGTGGACACTTGGACAGCTGCCAGCTTTTCACTGCATTGTGCTGTGCAGGCTCCATGCAGATGAGAGGCCACCAGCTTGTGACAAGTGCCCTCTAGGGCCCCAGCCTCTGGGACCTTTGGGTCTCACCCCAGGCTTCCGTGAGTCGCCCTCGGCAGGCACAGCCGCTGTGTTCTGCAGCAGCCACCTCTGAGCCCCTCCTCACGCTGTTTCTGGGAAACAGGCCCCCAAATGTGGGTCGCTGGCATGGTTTGCCTGCCAGGCTTCCTGTCCTCAGTGGTCCTCTCTGTCCCCAGGGAAGGTTACAACAGCCCCGCCATCTCCGGTGAGAACCTGATCGGCCTGAGCAGGGCCCGGCGTCCCCACAATGCCATCTTTGTCAACTTCGAGGACAGCGAGGTGCCCATGCAGCCGCTGGAGGCTGCTGCCCAGACGTGGAAGAAAGCCTGCACCAACCGCATAGACCAGGAGGTGGAGGAGGAGCTCAGGAAGGTGCGCCGGCCCCGGCCAGCCCTGCCAGACATCCAGCTGCTGACCAGCCCTGTCCTGGCCCTGGGCTGGCTTTGCTAAGATTGGCCCTTTAGTGCTTGGGCACATCTCCCCTCTGCCACCGGTGTAAATCCCGCATCCCGAGGCTGAAGATGCTTCTTAGAATCCTTAAGCAATGGGGCTAGCGAGATAGCTCAGCGGACTAGTGTCTGTCTAGGCAAGCTTAGGCACGCACAGGGACCGAGGTTCAATCCCTGGCACCACGTGCCACGCCAGCCCCACCCCTGGGTGGGCAGAGCTGGCCAGAGTCTAGGCATAGTGGCGCACACCTGTAATCCCAGTGCTGGCGAGGCTGAAATCAGGAGGTTCACCATGAGCCTGAGCTGTGTAGTGAGACCCTGCAACAACCACATGCGTTAAAAAACCAAATTCTTGTATGTGTTGAAGAAGACCTGGGTGTGTGGTTAGAAAGTGATAGCACAGCTGAGCTGGCATCTCGCAGCCAAGGGGCCTGGCAGTGTGCCAGGCCTGGTGGCTTCACCCCAAGCAGAGTGAAACTGGGGCCTCTGTACATTGTGCTCATCTGCAGGAAGGGCAGGTCCTCCGCGGATGTTGGCGAGGTGTGCCCTGGGGCTCCACCTGCCGCATCCAAGCTGAAGTCAGCTTGTGGCCAGCGGCCAGTGGGCATTTCTTAAAGAGTGCACGAGGCCATCTTGCTGCCTCTCAGCAGGGGCCTCGATGCCCTCAACACGGTGGCCTCTGCAGTCCTCCCTGGCCAGGACGTCTCCTTGCTGTTGTAGTGCCTCGGTTCAGACCTGTTTGGGCTCCTGGGGTGCAGCCTGTACTCCCTCAGCCCCCTTCCCCGGCTGGGCCAAGACCTGCGTGAGAACGGGGGCCATGCCCTTGTGTTTGTGACTGAACTGGATTGTTAAGACCCTGATCTGTGCGGGAATCCCCTCTGGAGAGACCTGCTGGGGCCCAGACCCAGGGGGCCAGGATGGTGGGGCAGGGGCTCCTGGTGTTCATCTCTGCCCCTGCCTTCCACCCTGCCAGCTGTTTGAGATCCGCCCCATCTGGTCACGCAACGCTGTGAAGGCTAACATCAGCGTCCATCCCGACAAGCTGAAGATCCTGCTTCCCTTCCTGGCCTATTACATGGTGAGTGCTGGCCGCTCACAGCCTTGGTTCCTGCCAGTGTGGTCCTCGACGCTGAGGTGGCATCAGCAGGTGGCCCTGTACCTGGTGCCACTCCACCTGGCCTCCTGAGCTGTGGTAGAGCCAGCTGGAAAGGTTTCCGCTTCCTAAGTCCCCAGTGTTGTGCACAGCCTCCGAGTGACATTCTAGGCCATATCCGGTGACCTCAGGGTGAAGGGAGAGAAGGATTTTGTGCTGGAGAAGGCCTTGCCATGAGGGCACTGTGAGGACCAGGCGTTGGGTGTGGGCACACGCCACACCCTCTGCTCCTCCCTGGAGGTGGCCGCAGAGGTCCTATCGGCCTTTGAGGAGAAGCCCAGGCTGAGGTGACATGTCACACCACGGGTCTGCAGCCTCAGCCCCAACGCAGCTTCTACTGTGACCCAGCCCAGGAGGAGAGTCGGCCTTGGGTGGCTCTGCGGAGGAGCCCAGAGGTCCTGCAGAGGGGGCAGCTGCTCTTGGGACTCCGCTGCCCCCTGGTGGGGCTTGACCCAGCCCAGGCGCCAGCCGGCCTGGGCACTTCCTCAGAGCACACCTTTCCTGTCCCAGATCACAGGCCCCTGGAGAAGCCTGTGGATCCGATTTGGCTACGACCCCCGCAAACACCCAGAGGCCAAGATTTACCAGGTCCTTGACTTCCGAATCCGTTGTGGAATGAAATACGGTAGAAACTGCTGAAAACTTTATATTTTGTCTTTGTGTTTTCCCGATTTTAGCCTCTTGTAACAAGAGGGTTCACCTGGAGAGAGTGCAAACCCCCTCCCCTCTGTGAGAATCCGTGGGATGGGGTCGCATAGACATGGGTGTGGCCCTGCCAGGCGGCGTAGGCCCAGGACCACAGGGAGGCTACGCACACGCATGGGCGTGGTGTCGGCTCCCAGCCTGGAAGGCCAGCACGCGTCCCCGGAGCCGATTCTGGGAACCCGGTCTGGCTCCAGGCATGCCTGTCCTCACCCACAGGTTACCACGCCAGCGACATGCCTGTCAAAGCCAAGCGCAGCACATATAACTACAGCCTCCCCATCACTGTCAAGAAGACATGTACGTGCCACAGCGTCTGTGCAGAGGGATGGCTCTGAGATGGGGTGGGCGGCGCCACTGGGTGCCATCCAGGGCCTGCTGGCCGTTCCTCCCACCTGAGGAGAGAGGCGGGTGCAGGAAGGCAGGGTCCCCACGCCCCTTCACCAAGGCACTGCCCTTGCCTCGTGCAGCCACCCAGCTCATCAGCATCCATGACCTGAAGCAGGGCCTTGGCCCTTCGATGACAGCCAGCCCCCAGAAACTGACCTCCAACAAGTACAAGCTCAAGGTGGGTATTCTGGAAGCCCAGGCTGTGGGCCTGGATGAGCGTGGAGGCGAAGGTGGGGGTGAGGCTGTGGGTGGCACTCTGGAGGGGCTTTGAGCCCGCCCATTGCCTTTGAGCCCCTCCTACCTTGGGGGCTTCCAGAAACACAGGGTTCACAGGGTGCGAGCCCTTGGAGTCATGGAGACCAAGGGTCTCCTGGGTGGGGTAGAGATGGGGCTCCCAGGGAGAATCTGGCACCAGCAGCAGTGTGAGGCTGCCCCTCCTGAGCCCAGGCCTCATGCATCCACCGCTGTGATGATGGGAATCAGCATGTGTGTGAGCTCAGAGCTGAAGCACAGCATCTGGGGCACAGCTGTGGGCCGCTGGTGGGGCTGGAAGTGAGCCACACAGGCTCAGCTTTGCCCGTGCATCACCCAGCTTCAGTCAGCACTTCCTGGAACCTTCCCACACTTGGGCCCCCTGCTTCACCAGCCCTCGGGGGGAGCAGCCCCGAGCCTGCACGCCCAACCATGGAACCCCTGCCTGAGGTGGCAGGGCAGGGTGTGAGAGATGGCTGGGCGCAGCCATCTCTAGAGCCTCGGTGGCTCTGGGCCTGCCTCCGGGCTTCCCTGACCTTGGCTCCCACAGTGCCCAAAGGAGCTGCCTTCTCAAGCCCTGCCTCTCAAGCTGTTGGGAGGGCAAAGGGAAGAAGACATTTAGACCCTGCCTTTCTCTCGGAAGAGCTGTCAAGGCAGCCTGCAGGGGAGGGGGGCGGGAGCGCGAGTCAGCGAGGCACAGCCCCACGTGGGGCGGTGGACATCCCAGAGGGGGTGGCTCCCCCCCTGCCCCACTCAAGCCTCCCGGGGAGTCACAGCTTGCTTCCTCCACATCTGGTGCCCAGCCTGGGTCGCCACACCTACCCTGGTCCTTGGAGGGACCCCAGGGGAGCTCGCAGCACAGGGCTTTCCAGCACTCCTGCTGTGGGCTCCCACTCACCACCCGTCCTTTCTGTCCCCAGGACTCGGTCTACATCTTCCAGGAGGGTGCCCTGCCACCCTATCGACAGATGTTCTACCAGCTGTGCGACTTGAACGTGGAGGAGTGCGTGCAGAGGGGCCCTAACCGCTGAGTGGGGCCTGGGACTCTGGGCGGGGCTGGGAAACTGTCTGGGACCACAGTGCTTTCTTCAGCTCTTGCACTGTGTCAGCAGGAAGGCCCAGTGCTGGGGGCTGGGGGCTGCGGGCTGCGGGCTGCGGGCTGCATGCCACCAGGACCCTGCTGCATGCAGATGGCTTGTCACTGGTGTCCCCTGAGGAAGCAGCCTGGGTGGCTGCAGGGACCCTGCTGACTAGGGTGCCTTCACTCCCTCCACAGTCACTCACATGCAGGCCCCTGGCACCCTTCCCTTGCCTATCAGAACCCTGGGACCCCTCGCTCCACCTGTTCTTAGTGATGTTTAAAGAATTGCAGGAGCAGCCACAAGGGCGGGAGGTCAGGGCAGCTTGGCACCTTGTCTTGAGATCTGGGGAGGCGGTGATTGTTCTCAGAAAGATGTGCTTGGTCACTGCCCAGCTTGGGGTGCAGTTTGGGGTCCAGGAAGCCGCTTGGGACCAACCGCTTCCTCTCGGGTTTCCCTCTGAGTGCACTGGCCTCAGTGCCACCTCTGCCCACGCTGCCCACTGGCTTCTGTGAGCCCAGACGCCTCTGGAGTCTTGTCTCCCATGCCACCCCCCTACCTGCAGGTTGCAGAAGATCATTCACCGCAATGATGGGGCAGAGCACTTGTGCACAGAACGGGACGGGTGGTGTCTCCCCAAGACCAGTGATGACCTGAGGGACACTATGTCCCTCATGATCCGGCAGACCATCCGCTCCAAGAGGCCAGGTGAGAGCCACATGGGGTGAGGCCAGGACCCTGCTCCTGAGAGGTGGTACCTGGGGAGATCGATGTGCTCACCCTCGGTTTGTGGGAGTCCTGGGAGCCCAGCCCTGCCGCCTGGCTGCCCACCTGGGGTCTGAGACAGGCGGTGTGCAGAGGGCAGCGGCTGCCATCTGAGGCCAAGCCTCCCTTCCCCACCTCACTTCCCGGAGCAGCTTCTCCGGCCCTGGGATCCAGGCACCTGTCATTGAAAAGGGCTCCCAAGGAACCCTCCAGCCTGTTGGAGGCCACAGCCTGCGCTGGGACACACGCGACCTTGTTTCCTCCTGGCCCAGCTCTCTTCTCCAGCCCAACCAAGGATGACCAACCAAAAGAGCAGCTCATGTTCGAGTCTGGGGAGGAGGAGGAAGAGGAGGAGGAGGAAGAGGAGGAGGAGGAGGAGGAGGTAGAGGAAGACTTCAAGCCCTCGGATGGGAGTGAGAATGAGATGGAGACAGAGATTCTGGACTATGTCTGAGCAGGCGAGGCTGGAGTCCAGTGAGGGTGCCAGGAAGGCCCCGCCCTGGCCAGCTGTTTTGTTGAGCATGGCCCAGAGGCCCTTTGAAGCAAAGCCGGAGTTCCAGCAGCGCAGGTCCTAGACCTGGCTGTGACCCGCCGCTCAGTTCTGCCCTCTGGCTGTAGAGACACCCCTAGCTCCCTGCCTCCACACCCAGCCTGGACCCCTCAGGCTGAGCCCTCGAGAGCCAGAGGCAGAGACGCTATGGCTTGGGGCACAGCCATTCCTCCTGGGTCTCATGATGCTGGTGGCAGAGATGGCACCAGGAGCCGGTCCATGGTCACCGATTAATTGCCAAAGACAGCCCTTGGTTCTGGGTCTGCCCATTTGGGGTCACGCACAAAGTCCAGCCCAGCCAGAATTGGCCTACTGAATCAGCCTGGCACAGTCTTGTGGCTCGGCTCCCTGTGTGGGGCCACAGGGGAGCCCCTCCTGCCTCGGGGTTCCCTCCGCACCTCTGCAGCTGGGTGAGCAAAGGGCCCTAGGAGTGACCCAGCCCACACTCACTGCTAAGTCCCCAGAGGGACACATTCAGGTGTTCCCTGGAAATAGCCCCCTCCTGAGCCCACTTCCTATAGCACACTGAGCCACAGGTGGGCGTTAGCTTGCTTCCCTGCGGGGCCCTAAGTACCCTCAGGAGCTTAGTATACAAAATAAAGCTCAGTAATTACTAAGCTCAAAGCCAAGGGCCTCCTGCTAGCTGGGTTCCTGGGCATGCCCTGTGAGCATCTGAGGAAGGTGCTGAGGCAGGGCTGTCCTGTCCCCCTGCGACAAGGCCTTACACCCTGGCGCCCAGGGCAGCCCCACAAGGCCTGCCAGCCTGGTCGGCCTTCCTGAGGACTAACCGGAATGTAAAAAGGACAGTGATTCCTCCTCTAGAAAGCCCCCTTGTCAGTAAAAGCTTTTTTGTTACAAAAAATCAACATTCAAGTCCTGAGTGTTCTTATGAGGCCCATATAGCCAGCTGGCTCCGGTAGTTACTGGGTTTTGCCAGGCTTGTGCCATGTCTTTCCCCAGGTTTTTATTTTTGTTTTCTGTTTGTTTTGCTGGACTTGCTCTAGAAAAGCCCCACATCACCGTGTCTCCAGGACCTCTGAGGTTCCCATTTGAACAACAATGCCGTCACTGCCCTTGTTCCAGTCAGGTTCTCCAGAGAACAGCTGTGGTGTGAGCTTGTGCGCAGGTGGTGGGGTTTATCGTGAGGAACCGGCTCACATCGCTGTGGAGGTGCAGGTCCCAGGTCTGCGGCAGCCTCTGGGGACCCTTCCCGCACTGTGGTTGGTCCTCCGCGGGCCCGTGGCTGTGCCGTGAAACCCACCAAGCAGAAGACCAGTGGCTTTATCAGTGTATCGTTTCCGTTTGAGCTTTAGCCCCCACACCTCCACAGACCACAGATCTGATGCTGGTCCAGCCAGCTGAACACAAGTCGGCCATGGCCACACAAGAGGATCCTCAGCAATTCCATAGGATCTGATCCTGTCACATGCTCATGTTTCCTTGATGGTCTCAGGACTGTCTGTACTTCTGGAGCGGGAGTCAAACACTGGGCTCCTTGGCCCTGGCTTTCCCTCCAGGGGACAGGCGGCACAGAGGCTCTGCCCAAAGCCCGGCGCAGTAGGTGCCAGGCTCTCGGATGCCAGAACGGTGAGCACAATAGACCTCTTCTTGGTGAATTTCCCAGTCTCGGGTATTCTGTTACGGGGGTGACAACGGAGCAAGACTGAAGGCCGTCCAGCCTGGGGAAAGTCCACACTCTGGGTTCAGCTGGCTGCTTCCTCGCTGTGGCATCCAATACCCATCTTTCTCCCCATTTCCCAGGAACTGGAGAAGCCTGGACCAGACTCAGATCCAAGGCCAGTGGTTCACCTGGCCCAGAGATAGGGCCTGCTCCGTGGCTGGGGCCACCCTCGCCCACTAGTCTTGTAGCTGGTGGTTTTTATTGGTCACTGGTCATTGCCTGGACCTGATACTCTATTGGGTTACAGAGTAGTTATTTTCAAATTCCATTGTTCTGTCTGTATTTACTAGCCATGGAGCTGTAAAAGACTCTTCATCCTTCCATTACACAGATACCATGAGGACAGGGAAGGCAGCTTACAGTGGTCAGGCCTCTCTGCTAACCCCTCAGAAGTTCAAATGTAGGATCAATGGAAAGCGCGTTCACTACACCCGGCCTCGCCTGCCTTGAACGTACGCCCAGCACGCGTGCTAGCCCAGCTGTGGGCAAAGCCATTAAGCGGAGTCGGTAGAGCTGAGCAGCTCTCACACGTTCAGTGGCTGCAGTACAGGAGTAAGCAAAAGCCGCAGTGGCTATGTGGCTGTGCTTGCGCACCGTGGTCGAGTGGGAAAGTTCCAGTGGAAGCACGTACGGGGGCCAGCAGTCAGGCAGCGCACTGGCCCGGCCCGCAGTGCCCAGGGACCTGCCCCACCCGCTCGGAGGAGCTCTGAGACATGTCAACTGGAGGGTGCTCCTTGAGGTCCACTGTGTTGGCTGTGGGTGGCCCTAGGGAAGTCCCAGAAGGCTCTGGGTGCAGCTCTCAGCTCTGTCTTCCTTTCCTGGCCCCATGGTGGTCCAGGCTCCCACTGGACATTTCCTGCCCCAGGCTGGCTGTCACCTCCCCAGGGCCTGCCTTCCTTGGCTGCCCCAGGCTTCCTGTCACTGAATGACTGGCTTGGAGCCCTGCATTGGAGGTTGCACTCCGTGAACACTCTGGACCTCAGCCTGCAGTGGCTCCAGACGCAGTGGTAGCAGGACATCATTTAAGAGGCCGCCCACCTCACGGAGGCCTGGAAGTGAAGACGGGAGGCCTGGTTTCTGACATCCCCTCCCAGGGCACCTGGAGTGGCCTAACCTCTGCAAGGCCCTGCCTTCTAAAGGTGTCACCACTGCCCACAAGTGCCATGGCTGGTGACCTGCCAGGACCCGCACAGCCAGTGGGGTCTGGAGAGGGCAATGAATTAAGAAAAAAGTAGACATGTAATGAAACTTAGGCCCAGGGGGACCTGACCTCTGATGGAGAGTAAGCAACAACCAGTGTGGTCTGCACAGTAAAGGAGAGGAAGCGCGGAGGGGCCGGAGGCGCAGGGGCTCCGCACACTGCTGAGAACACGTGGGACGTTCTCGGAGCCACGTGCAGGAGCACACGGCCACGGCACCGGCCTTGCTGTAGGCCCGGGGCCTGCCCACACCCAGCGCAGCCACGGCCCGGCCAACCCCACAGTGACCGAGTCTCAGCACAGCCCAGGAGGCCTGGCCTGCACCCGAACATGTGACTCACAAAGGACGTGTTTTTGCATGTACTAAACTAAAGATGTAAACTGAGTTGACAAAGACAAAAAGAAATTCATGCATATATTGCCCAAGTGAAACAAGACTACAGGTTTTACATTTACTTCGTTTGCTTCCTATGATGAAAAGTCTTATTCCTCACAACACTGAAAACGATTGTTTCTCCTGTAATATACCTGTATAAGTTTCCAAATACAAAATATGTTAAGCAGCAAGATCTGATGATGGCTTCCTGTAGTCACAGCACTCTGGGAGACCGAGGCAGAAAAACAAAGTAAATCCAGCCTGGGCAAGTTAGTAAATTAGGAAGAACCTATCAATTTATTTATTTTTTTAATTTGTAAAGGACTGGAGATGTATGTCAGTATGAATGTGCTGGGATCTGAGACGCACACACCACAATTTAAAAAGGCCCTCTTCACCCTCCCTGTACCCTCCACGATCCTCTCAGCCCACCCCACCCCCCTGCCCTACAGGGAGGATCCTGGGTGACCCCACCCTGCACCCCCATTCAGGAATGCTCCCTTCAGTGCTGCTTCTCAGAGTCCCAGAGTTCTCCAGGACCAGCTGCTGTACGTTTGCTGCTCAGCCCCTCCTGCCTGCTCTCCGCTGTGTCCCCTGCCACCTTTCCAGCTGTCCCAGTGTCTGGTCACCCATATGCAGTGTGGAGCCCTGAGGCTGGCCCAGCAGCCACACACAGACTTGAGGCCTGCACGTTGGCACGGGGGGCTGTGGCCGTGCTAGAGGTCCAGGCTCCCGGGAGGCACAGAGGCTTGTGGGTGTGGCCAGAGGGGCTGTGGACTTGGGTGGCCTCTGTCTACACCTGGCCAGCTGCTGTCCCCACCAGGGAAGAGGGCTGTGCCTAGGACACCACCAGAGTCTGCTGAGAGGCAGCCCTCGAGTCTGTGAGCTCCTGAAGGCTCACTGAAATGTGGCTTGTGGCAGCTTGTCTCTGGATGCCTTCGGGGCTCCCAGAGTGACACCATGCCCAGAGAACCTGGAAGCCTTTCAGGTGAAGACTCATGCGGCCCTCCCCTCCCCATCGTGCCCTCCTCTGTGTCCCCCTCCGCCTGGCTGTGCCTCAGGCTCCTTGCTCGGGCCACGGCCGTGGCTGGGCTCTGCTCAGTGCCATCCTACAGGCTGGCCAGGGCCCTTGCCCACCCCGCACCCACCCGAGCCTGTTGTCCTCTCTCACGGGACTCCTGACCTGTGCTGTTCCTGACCCACAGTTCCCAAGGGGCTGAGGTCGAAGCTCCTGGGATAGAGTCAGCAGAGGCAGAGCCCAGGAGCAGACAGCCATCTGGTCTAAGTCATGCACTGGGCCCTGCCAGCTCCCCCTGCAGCATAGAGGGCAGTGAGGGCTCAGGAATACAGCTCGCCTGCGCTCTGAAGGTGGCCTCAAGCCCTGGCCTAGGAGCCACACACAGGAAGGACAACCCATTCAGCTAGATCCCAGCCCTGTCTGTGCCATCTGCCTCTGCTCCCAGGGAGAGAGTTGTAGGGACTTGTTGGCATCTCGGTACAGCCCGGGGAAAAGTGGAGGCAGGAATGAGGAGAGACGAGAGCTGGGTCAGGTAGCGGTCTGTTTGCCTAACTGGCAAAGGACCCAAAGAACAACATGAAGGGCACTTATTTACACCTTGGCAAAGTTGTATCAGGTTGCCTCGTGACTAATGGCCAGAATTCTGCAGACAGGATGTGTTTCTCCTCTGTGGAAGCTCGACTGCTTTAGGCACCGGGGCTTTGGGCTGGGCTGCGCTCCCCGCAGGATGCATTTCCAGCTTCAGCTGCTCCTAGTGTCCCTCCCTCGACTGCCTCGCTGTGTGAATGAACGGTGTTCCATGGCAGTTGGAGAAGCTGTGTCCAGAGAAGTCTTTAGAAACCCTTTTCATTCCTGATGCCAGTCCAAACATTTTTATTTATTTTATTTCTTTCTTTTTTGCGGAACAGATTTTTCGTACTGTATACAGAAATGTAACCTTATATAGTCCAATAGTCCGCAACGGTAGTGCGTTGCCAGTACAGATGGCAAGTGTCAGAAGTCGTTAGTGATTCGAATCTTTTACAGCTAGCATATTATTATGGCATTTTTTACATCTCATGGGTATAACTTTCTGCTGGATGGGTAAGACTAAGTTAAGACTTTTAGAATATTTTGCTGAGTTTACACACCTATAATATTCAACAACGGAACTTAAAAAAATTGGGGTATAACTATGAATGTCCACTTTGTATCTGTGTATTCAAAGTGGTTGGGATAGATATATAGTTGCATTCTCTTAATGAATAGAATGATTTGTTCTAATGGTGTTTGTAAATAGGATCTCAAGTCTGCATCTTGTACAGCAATTAACCACTAAGAAGAATATATGCAGTGTGTTATTTGTTGAGATTGTACTTCTGATTTGATTTGAAACTGTCTCATTGCTATATGTTTATCAATAAAACTTTGAAAAGAAAAAAAAGAGCTAATGATAAAAAAAAAAGACTAAGTTAAGATAAGACCTGCACTAATTAAGTTTAACTTCTTGCTCTCTGTCAGTGTCAATTCAGTCTCCTCAGGGTTCACCTTGGAACCAAGTTCAGCACCTCTTAGGTCTTTTGTAAGGTGTCAGCCACCTGGCTGAGTCATGGCCATTGCTCGACCAAGTTGCTTTTTGTGAAAGATTGAGATCTTTTTTTAGGTGAGTCTCCTTAGGCACACTGTACACTGTGATCACTTTCCTCTGGGGTCCCATAAGCTCCTTGATAGAAAATCAGGGACTCAACTGAGTGACAGGATGTCACAGCAGGGGTTTTCTTAAGTCCTGAGTACTCATTGACCTCGGAAGGCTAGGGCTAAAATATTGGCTGTTTCAGCACACTTGTCTCCCTAACTTTCGGTTTCCAAACCTCAGTTATTAAGCATCCAGAAGAGAAGCTTAATGACATCACCTTGTGATGGAGGCAGGAAGCTTAACATTACTATCTGTCTGTATTTCAAGCACCTGAGACAAAATGGAACTGTTATTTTCCAACGATCATGGCTATTCTAATACTGAAATCCATACAGAATGTTAATACAGAATGTTTTACACAGAAATCAAAGTCATACATAATAATGCAGCATGACAATCATGATGAGATTTTGTGACATACTTAAATATGTATTTTGATACAACCCTTTTTGTGAAACATATCAATCTAATATATAAGAAGCTGTCATCTAATTTGTTGTCCTTTAATGGATATATATCACACGTTTTTGTTAAGGGCAGAGATCTGAATCCGAAAGAGAAGCCTTATCACAATAAGTAATTCTGGTTTACATTTTGGAAGACCTATATGTCTAGAATCAGTAATACATTTAATACACCATGAAATTAGCAATATTTAATTGCCATACGTATGTGAAAACCTTTGTTTCTTAATTTAGTTGGTATCAAAAGCATGTTTTATGAGAAAACTTCATTGCAAATTGTTTTGCAAAAACTTTATCTTTTGACCAATGACCAAATTATTGGGCTGTCTCCCAAGAGACCACT